TCATGCTGCAACGGAATTCCCATTCGCACAAGAAGAAAATGTCCGTTCTGTTCTGACAGACTATGCACAGAGCACTGCCAAGTCTATGGCTTCAATGCATGCGCCACAAAGCCGGATGCTGGGTAATGCATTGGTTCGATTTGTGGTTCTAGCGACGAGAAATTCGCTTAAGGAGATGGCACTCCCCGGCTGACCAATTGGGATGCTGTGCCGCACCATCGTGCTGTATGTTGGCTGGCAGTTGCTGAATAGCATAGTGATGAGTTCCAATAATCTATCTCCTGGCTTTGGCACTTGACCGCGGATCATTGCTATTTTTCCATGTGTATGCTGACAACTTTGGTCTCTGGAACTCGACTTGGATGCCAACCAGCAGGGCAGCCGTTGTCATGATCCGCTACGTTTCTGGGCACTAATTCCGATTAATGCAATGTCAAAATTGCAGGTTGCACAAAAATCGGAAAACATATCTTGAAGATGCGTGAGGATGCTTTTAATGAATCGAAGTTAGATCTACATGCAGGTCGTTTACACAGTCGTCATGTGCCGCCACCATCACAGCATACGGCGATGCCCTTGCCATATGACGAGTCTATATTGAAGATCGAGGTAGCAGCAACCATTCCGGGGCTATGTGGGGCACATACCGGCACCGATAAATGCAACATTTGCTATGCACCAGCACGCAGCCAAAAAAGTCCATTTTCAATTGCCCCCTTTATGGAACCGCTGTTGAACTTGGGTTGATGTCAGAGCACCGTCGGGTGGTCCTCAAGTTCTGTATGGTTAGCACGGGATCGTCCCCACGTCTTGGGCCATTGGCAATGGCCCATTGCACCTACAATACCGTGTATGCCTTTTACAAGCAGAATAAACCGCTGTAATCCATACATGGAGCGATGCCCGCGTGAACCAGAAACACCGTCTATAAACTTGTCAACAACAAACCAAGCTGAACTTCATTGCAGTCGATCCAATCTCGACTTTGCATCGGTCTTTGAGGTGACCAGAATTGCTTGAAGGGCTGCGCGTTTCCCACCACGCAATTGTTATTTTCTGGGCACCTGAAGCCATTGGCAATGCTGCGCAACGGAAATCGTAATTTGACAGAAGGGCACAGGCCACACTAGTAAAAAATAGGCCAAAAGTACAGGGTCCTGAAAACCTTGTACCCTGTTATGCGTATTAAAACCGCGCACCAATCGTGCACTGATCACAAAATATACGATTGCTAGAATCGTGCAGTTTGTGTAGGTACGCGAAGATGGTCCACGACACAACCATGGGCAACATGATAAAGAACACGGCTGTACACGATTTCAACCGCGTCCCAAGCACCAGCCGTGTAAAAACCTGTTTCAGAGTAATCGATTCTAAACGATCTCTACACGATTGCACGCGATTTCACTCGATTTCACACTGTGTAAAATGGCCAATATTCTACCAGTGCCATGCGAGGGGAGCCCCTCTTCCACCCCTGGATATATACGAAAAGAATGTGGTTAGTTTTCCAACCTCTTGTGAAGAGAAAAGAAATTCTATCCTCCTCCATTCACAGAAAAGGCAAAGGGAAAGCACGGGATACATACCCCGAAAATGGGTTGTACACTGCTTGTCTCGATGGATACGGCATTTGGGCAGCTAAGACATTTGTATCTCCAGACATCCGGAAGGGAAGCCCCAAGCGGGAACCGCCACATACAAAGTGGATGGCCAGCGGCGATTCGCTTACCTACCGGGAGAACTTGTAAGCAGGCTGGTATTGGATGCAAGGAAAGCGCCCTGCTAACTCAACGGCCACTTCCGTTTCTCGTGTAGTTTTGTAATCCATGTCGGAGGAACACAATGGAGATAACCGTGGGCGTATTATGGGGATAGCGTATAAAAGTGTTGACCAGCAATCCACTGATCCGTGGGTGGCGACTTTTCTACAGCGGACCTGGGCGGCAGGCGAGATAATGTGGCGGCACAACCATTATCCATTCATAGCGCGCCGCACCTCACGTCACATTCACCTATCGGCATTCGGCACCATATATTATTATAGGTAACAGTTGATCAGCTGTTACCTATGCTCATGAGCATCATGTACAATATGATAAACTCGTAACAATGCACACCGCACCTGACAGCTATGTTCATTCCGTAACACCATAATTCTCCCAGCAGTAATCTGATGATTTGTTTGCTGCCATCCCAGGCATTATCCCCAAGGGAGCTTTTCGCCTCCGATTTCAGTGCTTCACTAAATGTGCCTCAGGCAATTACACTATGATCATACTTTCCCCATCTCAAATACTCCTTGCCGTGCTGTACTGTGCCGCACCAGTACATACCGAGATGTTTCTGTACAAGGCATGGGGCGATGCATGTCTGCGCGTAACGTTCATCGAGTCGTGACTACCAAATACCGAAAATCTTTAGTACTTCATACGCCACAGAACCAACATCATCCGAACGCCATAGATTGTCTTTTCGGACATCGTCAGCGAGGACAACTGTCAGTTTGAGCTGAAATCAACCCCCAAAGCGACAACAAGCATCAACACAACTGATGCGCTCCCCAGCCAGGCTTTCGTTCATTACTGTCGAGAAAGCTCTCTGGAAAATGTGGGCTTGTGTGGGCTTCTAAGCCGATGTGGATTTTCTGGCAGCTGCGTGCGCTCTCGGCACCACGTGTCAATGGACGAAAAGCGCGACAAAAATTGCCCTGGCATCGCCCCTAACACGCTCGGGCACCCGCAGGTTGTGCGGCGACCAGCATAGAATACAGAGTTGCATCTTACCCGCGCGAAACCGTGCATGCCATCGAGCAGGCTGGGGGATGATTTACTTTGTCCGAGTTTGACGTTTTGCTCGCATGTTCCAATGGAATGTAGGGGTCCAGCAGGTGGTGAGCACCCTAGTGCCCGCTGTTAGTGCAGTACCACCGTAACCAACTTGCACTCACGAAAAATTCTCAAAGCCCAGACCGGTAGAGTGCGTCCAAGCACACGCCCAGGAGCGCTCCCAGCATCGCTGCAGAAGCAGCGTCCGGTGCAGCTCGATGGACATCGACGACGACGGCGAGCACGTCGACAGGCCGCCCACCTTCGCTCTCAACGTCCTCCAGCTGGTCCGACTGGCCCAGGCGCAGCATGGCATGCGGCACAGCGACTACACGCGCTACAGGTGACCGCAACCCTCCCTGGCGCTGCGAATTGAATTGGATGCCGCCAGCCACCTGTGGATCTTGACCCGTCTCACCGGACGGCCCCTCTCGGTTGTGCCCAGGCATTACTGCAGCAAGCGGCTGAGGACGCTGTACAAGAAGTTGAAGATGCTGCACGGGCGCCAGAAGTACCAGAAGAAGCGCGTCGAGGCCGCCAATGTGACGTGCGAAAGGTGCGACGCCCTGGCCCCTGCGATGGCTCTCCTCAACCCGCAAACTGACGAGTGATCAGCGACCAGATCATGAAAACAGCTTTCGCCGGATCTGGTCAGGGCGGCTGTGTGATGCCGGTTCCCATTGCTGCTCTGTGAACACAAGTGGCCTCAATTGGAAACCCAGAAGCCGAATTGCATTCCGCGGCGGTGCCATGGACCGCTGACTCGTGGCTGACCTTCGCCCAGGCACCTGCATGTGTCCCTGGTGTGCGCCGAGCGAGCATGGGCGCATGGAATGGAGCTCAAAAAGGACATCGAGAATGGGCCGGGCAAGGCGTCATCGTCTTCGTCTCGGAAACGCCCCCATCCTGGCAAGGGGGGGGTGTCCAGCGTCAAGCGGCGTCACATGCTGGCGCGGTTCAAGAAGGCGTCGGCCTTTGCAACGGAGTTCTCCGGCCTGTGCGCCCAGAGGGGAGGCACCAAGACGGCGCTGGAGGCCGAGGGCTACTCGGCCATGATGGCTGGGCTGTGGAAGATGGAGGTGCCCGACTGGCAGGAGGCCCTGAACAAGCTCTTGAGAGCAAAGTGAGGATTGTGGGATCGAGTTTTGGCGAACAGTGCCATGTGGTGCATTGAGAACCTTGCGGACGTGGGTGGGTAAGTTGTGTAACAAAAAGAGAAACAGGTCAACAAGGGGCACCCCTCCTAGGCAATCTTATTTGAAACTCTTTGCCATGGTGTGAAAGATGATGTAGAGTCCCTGATGCAAAAGTCACGAGCACATATCACAAGCAACACCAAAGGCAAGAAAACATGCATTCAGGTGGCCAGTATGGCAAGGGTGGGATTGTGCAGAACGTGGAGTTTAATGCAAGGCGTCCAACGACCTGCCCACTGCACCCAACAACCCACAACACCAGATAATGTCAGAGCCTTGGGTGAGGGTGTGGTGGATGGGCCAGCAGCAATGAATGGCGCATGGCTGGGGCCAGCCATGTCTTTGTTCTTGTTGGAGGCTGGAGTTGCATTTTTAAGATATTGGAGACGTGGTGTGTGTGTCTTTGTTGAGACACAATATTCGTGGCAAGTTCTGGCCTGTGTGTCATGTTGGCGGACTGCTGGTTGCACAAAAGATAGTGATATTCGGTCATTGCACATTTCCACTTGTCTTTGGCCTTGTTGGGACCAGGTGGTGCAAGGGGACCAGCTGGCACTGTATAAATTCCCAGTGTCTTAGTTGTTCCTCACTTGAGCGCAACTCTGTGCTATGATTCTGTTTCCCTGGCTTAGCAGTAGCTATACTGCTCATCACCATTGAAGCAAGGCAAGCGACACAGCTGTGTTTATACAGGGACAGTGGCAAATGACACTGCACTGTGTAGAGCTTGTTCTGTACACAAGGCATATCAAATGCAGAGAGGAAATGCCTGTGGCTAAGGCCGCTATATGTACCCAGGGTGGGGTGCCATGAAATGCCAGATGTTAGGGAAACAAAGTCCGATGTGCATTGCAGTTGCAGTGCTACACATAAGAAAAACATGCGATACAATTCAGGAACTCTCAACAACACCAACACTGCTCAATACAGAGGCGCATTTGGACAATTTGATGTTGGACTTGGCACTCCTTTATCAAATCCCATTGTTTTGAAACTGGACTGTTGATCTGTGAGTTTGTGTATGAACCTGCCAATATGCACAAGTGATGAGCATGTGTGTTTTGTATGGAATGTCAGAAAGTTGTTCGAAGAGTTGGCAAAGGTGGGGGAGTTTGACCAACAAGCCCTGTTCCATCAGGTGCTGGAGGAGTTGGAGCCCTCTGTTCGATTCTGCATCTACAACCTGGAGCGCGCACAAGGGGGAGCCGCAGTGCAACTGCAGGAAGTGGATCTCGAGCACCTAGAGGTGAGATGTGGTGCATCACCAATGCAGAAGAGAATGACAATCTTATCTGAACATCAGACTCGTGATATTTGTTGCCCCCTCCACTGTATGCAGGGCTGGGAGCTGAGTGTGTAGTTGGCAGCAGGGTAATGGAGTTGTCTACTTTTGAATCTTTCAAAATGTGGGTTGCCATTTATGGAGATCGCATTGGGCCCGGGGTGGGCGTGCTGGTACAAGTGTTGATCCAGCACCGGATGAGCAAATAGTCTCCTCCTTCTCAACATTTTGATGCATTTGCAAACTATAAATGCTCCAAAGTGTGGTAGTCAGTGGGAATGAGCATGCGTTGATAACAAAGTGTGGCAATGTGCTAATTGCTGTGCCACATATGATGATGAATGCCAGTAGATGCACCAATAATATGTCGCATCGTATTGCTGCTTGACACTGTTGCATGCGTCTTCTGTAGTATCATTTTGTTCCTATCATGTTAGTATCATTTTGTTCCTATCATGTTGTTTTGGAGACCTTCCTGCTGGAACCCCTGATCACCTCCAAGAGTATGAGAGGGAACTGCATCACTATGCCATGTTTTAAAACTGACCTATGCATTGCTTGTTGAGACACCTGTTTTGGGGTCTTGCTTGTGTGAGCTTGTGACAACCTTGCTGATGTGGTGGCAACAAATTGACACTGGGAGGAAAGCAAGGATGGGCTGGGGGGTTTGGGGGATTATGCATGTGTTTATGCTATTAAAACGTGCGGTTACCATAGAATCCAAATAGCTAAGAATCGCATGCATGGTAAACATGCCACAACTTGCACAAAAACTCCCTGAAGTTATGTATCTTAAAGGACCTTCCCAAATCTCAGTTCTCTGAATTGACAGCCTCCTGAGCTGCACCACTTTCATATCATCGCTCCCGACTTCCCAATATTCGCCACCCTCAATCGCTGCAACATTGACTGCTGCCTTCCTTGAAGATTTACTGACGTTGCATCTTAGGTATGAGGCAACTTTCCTGATTCATACTGGCATCGACATGAAGATTGACACCAAAAGGACGGGAAAATGGGAAATCGGATGGGAAGCGTTAAGAAACAAGTTACAGAAGGGCATTCCCTCTGAAGCGTGTGTGAGCAGGACACTGCTCTGTACTGTGAAAGGATGCTATACGGTCATCAAGTGCAAAATGATGATCACAAAGCAGAGCAACACAAACAGCAAGAAATTGTATGCTTAAACGGGAGGTGGCTTGCAAATGTGGTGCTCATCCTGCATTGTCATTGACACAGTCCAAGCTGGCATCCCTGGTGGTGGAGGCAAAGAGCCAGGCCCAGCAGGAGCAAACAGCCTCCAGCCTGGAGTGGTGCAAGATCAAGTATCCTGTTCGCAGTGAGATGTTGCGAAATTCCTTGCAACATGCACTCGATGCTGAAGGGCAGCTACGGGCTGCTGGGGATCCCCTGGCACTGTATGACAAGGTTGTGTCGGCCTATGGAGAACTGAAGAGGCTGGTGCAGCAGGCTCTCAATGCAGGTGGGCTGAGGTGCACAGGTGTCTGCGGTGCAACTGGTCAGGCCATTCGGCCTTGACAGATGGACATCTGTTGGGTGGCCGCAAGCACATGATCTTGTGAGAGAGCAGCACTCAAAATTCACTCCTTCCGGTACTTCACGATGGGCTTGTTGCAACAGGTTAGATGCTTCTTTGATGTTTGGGAGGTCTGCAATTGCTTGTTGCGATGTGTACACATTCAATAGTGTTGAGACTCAGGCATGCAAATTTTGGATGCACCAGGTTCCGTGCTTAGTGGTGATGCAGTAGTCTTTGGTGGCAGAACATCAACTTATAGTAGGTGTTTCATGGAGAGTGTTTCTTTGTCTATAGCTCTGAGGGTCGTTATGACACCAGCAGCTTGCAGGATGCCCTTCATATATAATGGCCACAATGCTTGACAGCAATTGTCAACGAGTCCCTTGAATATCAAAAGTCTTCCAGACAGCCTCCCACCTGCACAGCATCGGTAATGAACCATGTCGCAGCAGTCCTCGTTGAAACTGCTTAACCAGGCAGGGCTTGCCATCGCCCTGGATGGCTATGTGGAGGGATCACTGCAGAGTATTATTGCAGTTGTGCCTGATTGCTGTTTCATAGCAAAATCGCCGCAGTCTATTCTTCCCTGAGGTGGATGTTTCAAGCATAGACACTGCCTAGGAGTAATTCTCTTCATGAATTTGATCGTTGCAGGCTTGAGAATAGTCATCAGCCAATGAACGATTGGCAATTGGTAGGCATGTAAACGGATGTCTGTGAATGAGCATCACCTGCACCCAAATGGTGTTGTCGAGGGCTGAAGCTCAGTGCTCTTTGCTGCTTGTTCAGGGGGCGGCACCACCACATTGGGGTTGGGATCGGACCTTTCCGATTTGGCAACGGCTGTCAACGGAACCCTCCTGCAGCACTCCATCCAGAAGTCGCTGCTGCTGCTTCAGAAGGAACAGAAGAATTTTGAAGATGGAATGCTTCAAGCGCTACAGGCATCGAAGCGCAGCAAGGTGCGGATGGACATTCCATGTCAAAACCATTGCCCAAATCGAAGGCAGTCAGGGAATTGGCACATTGGTGCAAGTCAGTCTGCTGAAGTTTCTCTCCATCCCAGGCAAGACGAATGAGAATGCTGGTCTTGACATACTGGACATTGTTTTTGACTAGAAGCCCCTTCAGCTTGTACAATGGTGACTGGGTCCTTGTAGGTTATGGCTGTCCTGCAGAAGTAAAAGGGCACAAGGAGAGAACTGGCAGCCTTGTTCTTTGATATCCTTTGGATTCAGTGTGTATTCCAAAGACTGAGCATCTTCACTGGTATTGCATCTTCACGAATTCTCCATGTTTGAAACAACCACCAATTATGTAGTGAGCACTAGAGAATTCTTTGTGAAGTTGCATGGAAGTGGGCTGTTGCCTGCTTTCCTCATGTTTGGATCATGGCTTTTCACGGATGCTGCTGTACTTGCATGCAGGACAAGGCATCACGATCCAAACCTGGGGATGTCGTTCGCCTGCACGACACCCTGATTGGTCACATCACAGAGCTGATCGAACTGGGCATGAAGATAGGCGGTGCCCAAGGGGAGGTGCTCATGGAGCAATATGCGGCAAAGGTTTGTTCCAGTGTGGCTAAGGATCTTGCAATCTTGAGATGCTATGACCTGTTTGGCATTTCTTGTTGCAGTCTTGCAGATCAGGACCTTGGATTCCGTGCTGTGAACATCACATTTTCAGAGTGGCCATGGATGTGTTATGTATCGACATGCGTACTTCTGTATGAAAGTGTGGGCAGAAAGAAGCATGCGATGGTTACTACTGCAATAAGGTGTGCGAATACGAGGCAGGTGGTTTTTCCGTGTTTGGTCCATACGTGGTGGATGCATCTGACGACTGACAAGCTCGAAATGTGTATAAAACATAGTGAGGCGGATGTTCTTTTATCGAGTTTCAATATCACTTCAGTTTGGGGTTTCTGCACGAACAAAAATTGTTTGACTATAACCCTAGGCGTTCCGTCACTGATGGGTTCTCTATGTGTGATCTTTGGCCAGGCTGCTCACTACCAGGCGTCCAGATGTTACTTTGTTGCCCACACGCACTTAGCTGGCAAGAGGCTGAAGGAAGCTCATGCGTTGTTTGATCGATGCACAAAGCGTGCGGAAGACGCCATTGCCCGTTACAAGGAATGCTCTGAACAAGACCCAGATGCTGTGGATGCATTGACAGCCCTATCCAAGAAAGCTGCCGCGTTCAGGTGTGCCATGCTGATTGCAGTACAGATTCAGAGCGCTTGCCTGAAACCAGTTGGCTTGTTACTATGTCCAGGATTTCGGACTAAGCGACATTGCTTTGATTGATCTGCCTTGAGAACACAGAGAGGCGCCCGTGCACCTTGCAGGCCATGGCGGGCACGCGAGCATGGGTGTGGAAGCTGCACGCCAGCAGGCTTCGGGGCGATTACCGTCTCTCTTCCCATTGTGGAGCTGCGCTATGACGTGTGCCATGGCTTCGGCATGTGCAAAGTGACCGTCCGTGGCATGTCTTGACGCGCGTTTGGAAAGGGCTGCCGATATGGCACATGTCCCACTTACGGTAATATCAAAGGCCGATGGTCCCTTGCCATGCCTACGACATTCAGGAATCTCTTCGGGGATTGTTTTTAGTACGGCATAATTGTATCCCCTTCAACAACCTGTGTCTGCTGCTTGTCAGGTGCTGCGCACGCGCAGAATATGCAGAGGAGCTGCTGCTTGTGGAGCAGCGCACCCGCCAAGGTATGGAGTCGCTGTCCTTGGGGGACCAGGATGGGACTCCAACCGCGGGCTCTGAAGAAGTGCGGTACCTGTCCGACAACATGGACAGCTGGGAGTCTTTCGTGGGCCCCGGCAGGAGCGTCCGCATCTTCCGGATCCCCCCTGCGCTGTACAGCATGCCGGTGAAGCCCATATTTCTGGATACGGCCCTGAACCACATCGAGCGCCCCAGCCTGGACCAGAGACTGCCAAAAAAGACGACATTCTCCAGGATGCTGGGATGGGCGGGTTGGTGAGGTTGGGCCAACGACGAGAGACAACACGAGCGCTACCAATGTATGGGCGGCCTGTGGGAGCATGGTTTGGGACCAGCGAGCGGTCAGGTTGTCACCCGCTGACAATTGGGCTTGAGAGCTTTGGGCGTTTGCATTGGTGCAGAGTTGCAGGTGGCTTCCACGACGTGTAAAATGGTCTGGCATTAAGAGCGACAATTGCGTTTGCCCGATTGTCCCGCGCTGCTGGTTTCCGAGCGTTGCACCTTTCACAAGGGCCGGCCACAGGCAGTCGCATCTTTCACCAGCTGACTGGTGAACGCTCGCTCCTTCGCCCCATCCTCACCTTGCCCTCGATTCACATGATGAGTTCAAGCTCCGACGCCGTCTGCTTGGCACAGTACTGAGTGGTGTGTGCATTCCCGATGACCGCACACAGACAGGGAGCCCAACACTTCGTGATCCACGCATTTCGTTGCCATCGAGGCACTGCCCCAAGGGTGCCAGGACTGTGCCCAGCAACAACAAGAGCGCAAAGAGAATCCCTGGCCATCTTGCTCCAGCAGGAATGGTCTCACTTGCCGTGGAGTTTCGACCAAAGAAGCCTGGCGCCCAGAACCTTGCTAAATTGCAACACGGACAAACACCCAAACGCCAGGCGCCTGAAGAGCAGAGCAAAAAATTACATAGCGTGTATAAGACAAACAACTGTAGCATGCGTTCGGCGAGAATATAGCGTACAATAACAACAGTGCCTGGCTCCGTTTCCCATCCACTACAGCCTAAAGTACATGACCAACAAGCTAGTCCCAGAAACATGACCACTATGCGGAGCACTGGAAGCCTAACCTCCTTGGAGCAAAGCAAAATGCAAAACGTGCCCGCAGTGCTAGAAAGCATGAACTGCAGTCCATGGCGGTGGACGGCCTATCGAGCTTCACAGGTCGCTAGATGTACAATAAGGAAAATTTGTTTCATCAGAGGAGTGGAGGCGACGCTTGCGGACATCGACACCTTGTCTTGGCACCGCAGAGAACATCCGGCTTAGCACTGGAACACCCTCTTTCGGCAGGCAACCAAGTACAAGGGAGACTGCTGGAGAGAAAATGCTTGGGTCTAAGAACAGCCTGTGGACCAGTGTGCAACCCCTTTAACATACACAGACTTCATGAATTGACCTGCCTAACCATTCCTGCAGCACTGCAGCTTCCATGGTCTATGGAATTTTTGCAGTCACTTGGCCTCTGTTTGGAGGGGCACAAACGGCTTTGCATCTGGGTTCAGCGACGCAACAGCATGTCCAGATCGCCTCGAAGGAAACTGCTGGAGCTCAGGCGGATGCCTCCTCAAAGTAGTTCCCCTGGGCAGCTCCCGCTCATGATGCGACATGCCGCCAAGCGCCAAGTTCACGTCCGCCCCTTCACTGTAATTCCTCCTGTGTCTGTGGCCTCCGCCACGCGCCCATGGAGGTTGGTGCTTCCCATCTCGCGATCGAGCGCTCACAGTGCTATCAGGACGGCCCTGGGAAGCTGGAGATGGCCAGCCGTCTCTCCTATCATATCCCCTGCCGCTGCCCCTGCGGCTGTTGGCTCCCCACCCAGCATCGAATGGCCGCTGTCTGCTCCAGCCCCGTCCACTGCCCTCTGGAAGGGTCACACAACTCCTTGGGCTACCATTCCTGGAACTCTGGCTGCTTGCAGGCCTCCCAATAGAGTGCCAAGACTGGCTGGAGGATGCGCGCTCAGGCCCAGCTCTGCCAGATTCTGCTCCCCTCTGCCGCCTCAACCTGCCTCTGTAATTGCCAAACGATTGATCGCTGCACTGGCTGGGCGCCCTGCTCTCTGGATTCATGTCCATCCTCATCTTTCCAACGTAATTCCATGGGCTGTGTACGTCATCTTCAGACTGCACAGACCAACTCCTGCCAGAGTCAGTGGATTCCGCCCTCTTGTGTCCTCTGCCACGGGTGGGCTGCCTGCCAGGACTGTTCCTGGCACCTGTTGATGGTGATCGCCGGCGATCAGCAGAACCAGCACCGTGTTGACCACGCCCACCCAGCCCTCCACGGCCAAGGTGCTCTGCACCACCTTTCCCACCCTCTTTTTTTGCCTGCCTTAAATTTGGGCTATCAGGGCCTTCCTGTGAGATGCTGCTGTCAACACCCGTCCATTTCCTGCCCCCCCCATCACTGCTGCTGGAGGTGTTCGATGCTTGTCTCCCAGGGCCCCCTGAACGTGGGGATGAGTAGGAATCCCCACGTTTGTGCCTTGGCCCTTCTTGCCTGCCTCGCAGGGACGACCTCCCTCTGGAGGCACATTGAAACAGCCCTTGCTCCGCTGACATGCTCCTACAACGGCCGCCAGGCCGCCCATCATGCACATTGGAGTCTTCACGTTGACTGTCAATGGCATCTTCAGATTTGGCAGCAGGGGTCCTCTTTGGATAGGACTGGAGGTGCTTCCCACTGCCAGATCTTGCCGTGTCTTCGGAGCCCCCCTTCTGCTGCGCACTGTTCTGTGCCTTTTGGCGCCGTTTCGAAGCAGGCAGTATCCAAGCTGTTATGACATTCTGGTGGGAATCCAATATCCTGTGGCTGGACTGAGTTTGCAGCACACCATCGGAAGGTTCTCTTTGGCCATCCACCTGTGTGGGTTTCTCAACACTCTGCACATTTGTGCTGCAGGCATGAGTGTCAGGTTCTTTCAGAGATTCTATCAGAGGCTCTTCCCAATCTTCCTCGTCGTCTGTCATGGACATGTCTGCCCATCTGAGACTAACTGGCTTGCCACCTCCTGCTGAGCTTTCAGTCCGCGGCTTGACTGATGGGCCATCCTGTGAGCCATGGGCTGCCTGTGATGGAGCCAGTCCCTTGCCACTACTATCTTCACAAGCTGCACAAGCCACAGTATTTGTACCAGCATCTTCTCCACTGAGACCAGCAGGCTTGGCATCACCAGATGATGCATCTGCCACAGTGTGGTCTCCCGCTGTGTCCTTTGATTGGTGCACAACGATGTTCTCCTGTGAACCCTCCAAATCTTCAACAGGATCTCCACAATCCCTTTCAGTTGCGGAGTCCCTGCAATGAAAAATGTACAGAGGGTGTCAGGTTGCGTTGAGTTGATCCTGTTCAAGCAATCCCGATTTGCACAGTCCCGACGAACGCCCATCGCAGCAACACACTAAACTTTGTATGTGGCAGGAATCCGCAAGGTGACCTACTCCGTGGACAAGTGCAGGTTACAGGGGACAAAAACAAAAGCAGGAACGTCGCTTTGAACCAGAAAACTATGCATACTGAATCCGGCACCCGGTGAAGGAAGGAATTCGAACGCCATCATTGAGAAATTCCTTCCCACATCGAATGCCAACGGCGAGGAGCAGCTGCCGTTCCAGCCGCTCAACGCCCTGCCAGCCCTCAGCACCACAATCGTTGCAGTTTATTCACCTGTCTCCGGGGCTCTTTTCCGTGCACACTCCTCGGCCGCAGCCACGCCTCGCATCCACCTCCATCGACATCCCACCCTCCCCGCACGCGCCTTGCCCCGTCGCTGCACCCTCACCGCCGATCCCACCCTTCGCCTTCCTCGCCTCTCCGCGCACAATCCCGCCCACACAAGTCCCTCCGTCCCTTGCGTCATCCCCTTTGTTGGGTCGTCCAAGCTCCGCCCCGAGACCATTCACCGGATCCCTCCCACCGCAGCCATCCTCCCTTTTCAATTCGCCGCGCGATCTGACCCTCGGGTCCGTGGTGTCCGGGGCCCCTGCCGCCGCCGCGCCGGCATCAATGACGGCATCCCCGTTGGGCAGATCGATCGGTGCGCAGCCAGGGCGGGCAACTTTGCCACCGGGCAAGAGGTCGCCGAGGCCCAACCGAACGGGCGCCTCGTCCGCAATCATCGTGCGTCGAACGCTCTTCTCGGGGTGGCGCCTGAGAGCTTGCCGTGGGGAGCGAGCGGCACCAGTACCGTCTTCGGTGCGCGGAACGCCTACAGACGTGGCCCCATAGAGGAGACGGGCAAATGAAGAGGGGCCGGAGGGCGTGACTAACGGCCTTGACAGGGGCGCCACTCAAGGGCGCGGGCCACCGAGGTTGACGAAGTTGGACCGTTCTCCGGTTGACTGTCCAAAGTTGAGATTCCTTGGTCCCGGCCACCGGAACCTCTTACGGGGCTTCCGCCCGAGATTGGCGCAAGCAAACAGCAAGTGCATGGACATATCCATGCACCGAACGAGTTCGTGCTCAGTGGGCATGTGCAGAGTCAATCCCAGGATTGCGACGCCGGTGCTGCTCCGGCTGCGCTTGCTTTTGGCGACTTCAACGTTGTTCTGCATCTTTCTGCCACCGCTGTGCTACTCCGTGTGGCCACAGCTTCGTCTCCACGGGCGCCCCCGCATCCAAATGCGACATTCTTATGCCGCTTTTCCTGCCGCCCCTGGTCTGCCAAGCCGATGCAATGAAACACGCGCGAATGACCTTCAAGCCAGTCCACTACCAAACCTCTTCTTGACCTACTCTGTCCACCCAGAACAAGTCGGCGACGGGGAATCCCGATCGGTCCTGGCCCGCCCTGCTCCCACACCCCAGTTTGCAAGGCCCTTGCGGGCCAGGCGACCTGCCGCCGCCCGAGCTATGGATACAATGGGCACAGCCATGAGGGGCACCCCGCTGGCCCCTGCCGCCCCGAAAACAGACCGGTCCAGGGCCCATGCCTCGGGCCGCGTGTGTGCCGTCGCGACGCCCTCCAAGCCCCCCACCACCAGAAAGGCGCGGCGCAGCAAGGTGGAGATCATCAAGGAGGGAAGCGACTTCCTGCGCCACCCCCTGATGGAGGAGCTTGTGAGCGACAAGACCTTCATCAACGAGCAGGCGCAGCAGCTCATGAAGTTCCACGGGAGCTACCAGCAGGACCACAGGGAGAAGAGGGCCTTCGGCCAGGGGAAGTTCTACCAGTTCATGATGCGCACGAGGCAGCCCGGAGGGCTGGTCCACTGGCAGCTGTATGTTGTCATGGACGATCTTGCCGATAAGGTGAACGTGCCATCCAAGAGCGACGGACCGTGGGTGCCCATCTGTGCTGCTGAATGCGATGAGTCTGCCTACCACACCTGCGCCATTTGCCGCACGTCAGGCTTGCTTCCGGCAGTTAGCTGGATGTGTTTGGGTGCGGGTTTTCTGTGGCTACCTCATTGGCGGGCCAACGGTATTTTTGCCCATCCTGGACAATGTGGGACGAGATCTGCGCAGCCAGGGAACGCTACCCAACGTTCAAGATAGCTGTCCTGACGCAGCTGTCGATTGATGGGGTGCCGCGCTTCCCAGATCGTGGAGATGCCTGCAAGCATTGTGCTCGCCGAGTTGCCCATCCCCCATGCCCACAACCACCAGGGCTCAATTGCCCTTTCGCATTCTCATTTTCCCTTTCTCAGTTTTTGATCTCCCCTGACCCGCGCCTCTCGCCTCTGCGCTTCGACCGCAGTACGGCAGCGGCACTCTGCGGCTCACGACGCGGCAGACCTTCCAGCTGCACGGCGTCCTTAAGGAGGACCTCAAGACCGTGTTCTCGACCGTCATCAAGAACATGGGCTCCACGCTGGGCGCTTGCGGGGACAACAACCGCAACGTGCTGTCGCCCCCCGCGCCCTACAAGAACCGGCCGGACTACGCCTACGCGACCCAGTATGCGAAGGACATCGCAGACCTGCTGGCGCCACAGTCTGGGGCGTACTACGATGTGTGGCTGGACGGGGAGAAGTTCGTGTCTGTTCACAAGGAGGTGGGCGTGAGGGAGGCGCGCTGTTGTGCCCATTGCTGCTCCGGTTGGTCCTTGTTGTATTCTGTGGAGTGGGGAGGGGTAAGGTGCGGTGAGACACCTGGTGGCATTGGTTTGGTTGCAAGCTTGTGAATGTTGCCATGGGGTTGTGGCAAGTGAATTTGGGGTGTGTGCAATGATGTGTGTCCGTTGAGTGCAGGATCTTCTTTGCTTTCGACTGTTGTTCTGGAGCAGATTGGGATCCCTAGGGACTAGAGTTTGCACTGGTATGGGTAGATGCCAACAGAAAGAAATTGGTACAATAATAACATAATTAGAAGAATAAAATTAATGGCAACATGTGATGCGGGTCAACAACGTGTCGGCTTGCGACATGGAAGTAATCTATTGCTACCATGTCATGCAATTTCCATCCTGTATGGAGGCAGCAACAGGGAAAGGGTGGGGAGGAGGGAGAGGTGGCTGGCGTGGATCTCTGCATAGCAGCAGTGTATCTTGTGTGGCGCCTGTTGCTACTGTTGTATGCCAGTGATTGGTGGGAAGGATGTAGCTGGAGGTGGAGGTTAGGCCTGCACACAAGCACGTGCCCGGGTTTTGAATTGCTATGCTGTAATGTACAGAATCCGAAGGTCACTGAAGATCGGGCTTTCAGCAAGTTTGGCACCAACTTTGAGGGCTCTGCAGAGCCCATCTATGGCAGCCAGTTCCTCCCTCGTAAGTTCAAGATCGCCATCACTGTGCCTGGGGACAACAGCATTGACCTGCTGACGAACGACATTGGCTTGGTGGTGATGTGTGACGACAAGGGCGAGTTGCAGGGCTTCGATGTGTTGGTGGGAGGTGGAATGGGAAGGACCCACAGAAATGAAGACACGTTCCCACGTCTGGCAGACCCTCTGGGGTATGTGGACAAGGACGACGTCTTTCATGTCGTAAAAGCCATTGTTGCAACGCAGAGGGATTATGGCAGACGGGACGATAGGAAGATGGCCAGGATGAAGTACTTGGTGGCTTCATGGGGATTGGACAAGTTCCGGTCTGTGGTGGAGCAGTACTTCGGGAAGAAGTTCCAGGCCTTCAAACCCCTTCCTCCATGGAAGTATCTGGACTACCTTGGTTGGGGTGAGCAGGGCGATGGTAACTACTACTATGGCATCCATGTGCAGAATGGTAGGGTTAAGGGGGACGTGAAAAAGGTTTTAAGGACAGTGATCGAGCGTTACGAGCTGCCGACGATGATCACAGCCAACCAGAACATCGTCCTGACCGACATTAGGCCCACATGGAAGGCGGATATTGCCGCAACCCTGGCGGCAGGAGGCGTTGTGGATGTTGTGGAACTGGGTGACATTGAGCGATACTCTATGGCGTGCCCTGCTTTACCGCTGTGCGGGCTGGCAATTGGTGAGGCAGAGCGAGGTCTTCCTGGTGTCACCACGCGGCTGACGACGCTGATGCGTGCGGTGGGGCTGCCAGAAATGCCGATTGTGGTTCGAATGACAGGCTGCCCCAATGGTTGTGCCAGGCCCTACATGGCTGAGCTGGGCTTCGTCTGTGACGGCCCCAACACTTACCAGGTGCGAATTGTGCTTCTTGTTGCCCAACACTGTGACAGCAATCTTTGCACTGGGGCCGCTGGGTAATGTTGGTAGTGTGTGGACGCTCTAAGGCGTCCATTCTTCACTTTGCCGAATTGCAGAGTCGCTATGTGTGGGTCAGTGCACCTGCTGGTTGATGTTCGCCAAATTTTGGGCCGCATATTCCCATTGGCGATTATGTAAAGATGTCCAGGAACTGCACAAGGAAACACCAAAAGGCAGGCACATCCAGCTGTGCTGATGGCGTCAATGGAATCACAAACGCAACATGCCCTGCAATCCAGTTTTGCACCTTGTATTTTACCCAGAGGCCGCTGGTACAGCTCTTGCAGCCATAAGCCTCAAACTGTTTGGCCGGAAAGGAAAGGCACATCCAGGCCAGTGTCTTCTTTCCAGTACGATGCATTGGATTCTTCCTTTAGCTGACGGTCAGCACGTGCTTGGTGCTTTCAGATTTGGCTTGGCGGCGACCAGGGCCAAACTCGCCTGGCGCAGTGCTTCATGGACAGGATGAAGCTCAACGACCTGGAGACAGTGATGGAGCCCATCTTCTTCTTTTATAGCCAACAGCGAAAGCATGACGAAGGCTTTGGGGATTTCTGCGCAAGGGTCGGGTTTGACGCGCTCCGGGACTACCAGAATGGCTACATCAAGGTGGAGGATGTTGGGGACTTGCACCAAGTGGGCATCAGCCCCGATGTGTACGAGAAGCTGGAGGAGCTGGCCAAGGCGAAAGGCAAGACTGTGGAGCACGTGTCCAATGAGGTGCTGCGATCTGTCATCACCGAATCTTGAAAGACCGAGACACCTGACTTGCAATTTTTTGGATGTGGTTGGATGGAGCCGGGGAGCCAGGCGATCTGGTGGCTACGTCAAGTGGAGGTATCCCCACATGCTATATGCATACCATATGTATGGAGATACCAAAGAGCTAGATGGTTTGATGTGTAAAAGTTTCACATCGCATTCCCAAGAGGGCCCCATCGTCCGTCGTGATCACAAGTGATCCACCAAAGGCAACGGTGGTCATTAGGAGGCGCATGGTTGGTGTTTCACTATCGCCTAGCATTCCTTTTCCCATTGTGGAGTGTTCCACACGCGCTTTTCGTCGTTTCCCGCAATGATTAGCGGCCTTCCACTCCACATCTCTGATTGATGTTGGTTTTGCGTCGCCCAGTAGTCACCGTATGTCGGTGACGTGTCCTGCAGAGTTGAGGGAACATGTCCACTTGTGCATTTAACAGCTACTTGATATGGTCTCCTTGCACGACCTGTCGTGGCAGCTGTCCAAGATCAGCACACGTTGACAAACAGCTGCGGCCTAGCCCCACCACGCAGACGTGCCGGAAAATCCTCGTTGGCGTCAACATGACGACGCACACCCGCTTCAGCCATTGTGATGCCAGGCGCTGTTCACACCCACAAGGGGTGGTTGAGGAATCGTTGCGACTGCTGAGCAATCATTGCCCCCAACAAGCTTCTCCGCTACACTGCTTGTGGAGGAGGAAGGTAGCGAATGTCGTAGCGATTCTCCAGGCTCAGCTGCAGAAGCCTGCCGCTCTTCCCATAACCCCACTGCTACTCTCGCGCACACAACGTTTGACGGGCAACCTACTTAGGGGCCTGCACAGCAGGCTTCACCAGTCCACGCGGACTGGTCATGACAGTCAGTGCACCAATCTCCTGGACGAGCACATACGTGTGTGAACACAACTGATAGATCGGACGCTCGCGGGGCACAAAACGTCGACTCACCGGATCGAGTGGTTCTTATTAACAGCCAGGCCAACAATGCAACAAGAAACCTCGGAGCCTTGGCGGAAGGCTAACTGCCTCACATGCTTACATCTTCGTATGCTACAAGTGTAGGGCGCTAGCTGACGCCAACTGGTCTCGACTGCACGCTCCTCTGTCCTCCCCCTGTCATCTCCCCACAGAGAAAAACCGGCATCGAGGAACTATATCCAGCTCCGCGACTGGGACCATCGCGGGCACAACATTAGACGGTATTCAACACAGTGGTACAGCAGCAGCAACGGGGACCGCTGTTCCAATGAAGTTCGGGAGTGGACCCTAATGTAAACAAGTGCACCCCTAGGCGCCGTCTAGGGCGCGCGTGCTATAGCATCTGCTCCGTTGCCATGCCCGTATCCAGGCAAAGAAACGGTGGCCCTCCCCCTGGGCGGCCGTCGCGCATGCAAACCCAATAATAAATTTCTTTAACGCTGTGGTTCCTGCAACTTTTCACTGGCCCTACCTCTTTCCCCCACACTCACCGTCACAGCGTCCCAGGAGATCGAAGCACATTTGCCTCCTATTTATTGTCCACACCGCTCGCTGGGAGTGATGCATGCAGCCCAACAGCTGAGAAGTCCCATTCAGGCAACGGTGGCTGCGACTTATTGCAATCAGATCAACTCTTCACACAACCTCGAGGTCTCTCATGGAGCTTTCGTGGTCCACCTCTCTGGCATCCATGCCAACATCCGTTGATGTGTCCATTCCTGACGACGCCATGCTCTTGACCGACTGACTCCTCACCGACTGCCCAGTGCCATATTGGCTTCCAGTTTCAGCATCACGCAGCTGGTCCCCTGCACGCCCGCAACAAACGTCACAAGCATGTCTGCAGCGAAAGCCCGACCCACTGGACCGCAAGAACAAGTTGATGGGGGACTCAGCAACAACGTTGATGGAGGACGCAGCAGTTTGTGCGTTGTATGTTAGCTGCTGCGACGGCCAAATCAACGTGAGCGATGTCTGCAGTGCTACCAAACCAGGTACACTGGTCTGATTATTTGTTTGGCATCCTGCCTTCCTGGCGACGATTTTTGAAGCCGCCTAGTCCTGGGCATTGCTTAACCAGCGTCGCCCAATCGTTTCTTTCTCAGCATTACATCTGGGGCAGGAGATGGGGATGGACAGCTGGAGAGCAATGCACGCCCCCTTTCGTTCGTGTCACACTCGATACATTCCAGTGGCCAATCAGGAGTGCTGGTGGGTGCTGTCCATAAGCGGTTACCACCTCTGATTAAGGGACCGCGAAAGTGTTGTCTCCGGGAACAGGCCAAAGGGCTTCGGGCAGCAATGGAAAGGCGACTCGTCTTTTGGATCGGTGTTCAGGCTACGGGAGCCCCCGGCATGGAAGTCAATCCGATTGGCGATCGGTATCAAGCCCTTGATATCCACTACCAGTTCATATTCCTCCTTCATTCTATCGGTTTCTCTGCAAGGGCACAAGCCATCCGTGCACCACTGTGTGGCCTGGAGTGTGGCCTGGATATGCAGCAGGAGTGCGTGCACAGGCCGTAGGCAGTGTCCATGTGCTTCATCAAATATGGCGTCCCTTCCTCACCAGAGCACTGTTTGATATATCTCCTGAGGGGCACCGTTCCATTATTCTGTGGCTTGGCACGAAAGAACCCAAGAAATACTCCGCAGAAATATTGACAGAGTACGACATTGGAAGCTGAGTGAGCACAGCAACATCTGTGGACCAATCGGCAGAGTTGGCGCAGACAATGTCACTGCTGCAATTATGTACACTTCCTTCAGCACCAACGCCATTAAGGGCAAAGTGTATGGGGTTCGGACTGTTTTCTGAGCTCCAAACTGACTGGTCCCAGCAAATCCGCTGTCGTTGTGCCTTGTACACATCAAGCTTCTCACCTGCTTCGCTACCCTGCGCATTGCGCGCCTTCAGCAGCTCCAGGAGCTGGTCATGTGTCAGAGAATTTAGGATCACAATGTTGGGGACGTCCTCATCTTCATTCGTCTGGTAGTCCATCAAGAACTTATTGGACTTGTCGCGCTTCCGCCATGAGAAGGCTTTGCTCAGTCTTCTGCCAAGCCTGGACTTCAGCTTGCCACCCCCTGATGTGGCCGAGTCCCCCGTGCGTTGTTGCAGAGGCCACACATCTTGGTCGTGGCTGTCATGCATGAACACCCATGTTCAAGGACCAACAGGTGGACATACCTCATTGGCTGGGCTACAGCAGAAAGGAACCATGCCAAATTCCACAATGCACACATTTCTGGTGAAGTCTGGTCTGAGGAAGCAGTTTTTCAATAAGCTGGCAGATCGTTTCAGCTGAAGCCTCAGCAGTCATAACCACAGACATCACAAGCAATTGCACATTATTCACAGCCAAAGATGTCACATCCCAGATATCACTCACAGTCCAGATCTGATGATACATCTGATTCTGCGCAACCATTGCGCCAGAATCTCACAACCACAGGCGACAAAATATGTAAACAGAGTGTGCAACTCCAGGTGTAGGATTTTGGCTTTACCTGTATGAGATGGACGACTCAGGTCCCATCGTTTCCATGTAGGCATGCTCAAAACCGTTGGCAACTGCGCTTGAGCTAAAAGGTGGAAGCTCAGCATACGACTCGAGTGCATTCCGCATGTGCTCGTTTTCAGCACGCAGCAGCTGGATCTCTTGTTCCGCACTCAAATCCCGATGCATATTCATTTTCCGAAATCCATTCTCTGAGGTCCTCGATGCAACAGACATCGCATCGCCATCCTCATCCTGCATCGTTGCCATCATGCCTATGCCACTGTGCTTCTTTCTGTATGGGACAAACCGGGAGCCGTCTGGACCAATGCCAATTGCGCCGTCATCGTCTTTCAACTGCAAACAACGACACACAGGCCAGTGTGAGTCCAAGAGGTGAACTGCACGAAAGCATGAGAACTGCAAGCAGATGGACAGAAAGTGCAGAAGAAACCACCCAATAGTGTGCAGCCCTTCCTGTCACACGGAGTACACCACACCACTGCAATGGGATGCTCAGCCAGAAGCACAGCAGGCGAAAAGTGAAGCAATGTGGCATTATGTTGAAATCTGCTGGCACTGCTGCTGACCACGCCATGTCTGCAATGCAGCAGGAACAACGGGAGTTCCATAGGCAGGTTTGGCCAGCATGCCCCACAAAGACTCACACCTTTCCATTGAGGATTTTGTCCCTCAGATCCAGCAGTTCCAGAAGCCCATCATCGTCGATGCTCCCCATCGTCTGCAGTTTCTTCAATCGCTTCCGCAATTCATGTAGCTTCTCCACCTCGTGCTCAAGGACTGGTGTTGGCCCAGGTGAACCGTCACTCTCCATGCGCCTCTGGCCGCCCTCAGATTCTTCTGACACTGAAGCCAGCCTGCCCATGCCTGCCCTACCCCTGCCAGGTTCGACCCTCCTCTTGTCGGCTCCATCGATGCCCAGGGCACCAGGCGTGGCACTTGCGATGTCAAGGACCCGCTGGCGCACCTTCAAGAGCTCTTCAACTTCTTCTGTTGAGAGGGAACGAGCCTGCAGCACAGAATGGCCTTCAGGTCACACTGCCACAGTGCTGGGAAGAGCTGCAAACACAGGGGCAATGGCTTGTTCAACAGAGCAAGCTGGGAACAGCAGTCGATGTTGCAACTGGCTTAAGCCTGACACTCACTGAAAGATGCAAAGGTGCTGGTCTCCCCTTGACGGAAAAGATGCTTGAGCAAGATTCCACAGTAGGCAAAGAAGTTTGTTGACCATGTTTGCTTGTTGACAATA